GTGTAATACATCTTTTGATTTCTTGGTTGGTATTATTATGGTTAGGGCAGTCCATTTGACATAGTGACTTTAGCAATGGGCTCTAGTGTCTTCCAGATGATGAAGATGGCACAGGAGAAGGTAGGCTTCAGGTCGATTGTTCATAGGGTCGCTATGAGTCATACCTGACTCAATGGCACCTAACAAGCAATACCATAAACTTTTCACCTCTTTAGGCTCAAGAACTCATCTTTATGGTACACAGTAGCTACTAGAGCTCTGACAATTGCATTGTATGCTAGGTAGCAAGGAGGAAAGAAGAGAGAAAGGAGAGCCTTTGTCAAAAAGATTTTTCCACAATGATGCATTATTACTAGTTACATCTCATTGACCAGAACGTTGTCCAATTATTATCCCTTGCTGCAATTGTAAGAGGTCCTATGGATTTTTCTTTTTTTGGAGTAATAATATGACCAAAAAGTGTGATAAGGAAGACACACGCTTAGAGTACCATGTATTTTCTTTCTCTTTGGTTAAAGAAATATCTTCTGGATACTCTGACTTGAACTAGAGGCCATTTCAGAAACTAGAATGTGAGTTCAAAGATCACAAAAACTAGAATAAATGTAATTCTCCTATTTGGGGAGTTTGGATTGCTTTTAGTGTATGTCTTTCTAGAATTTACTACCATTGTCAAAACACACATCCCACGGATTTTTCTGGTGTTAGAGCGAGATGGTGGGCTATAAGGTGGGTAATTTTTCTAAGCCGAGTGCTCTCCTAGACCATAATGGCTCATCAGAGACCCTCACCATATACCGTGTTTTAGATAACATCTCCTCCTCAGTTAGCTTTCCCCTGACCTCTTCCTCTCACCTCCTCTCAACCTCTTCAAGCAGCCTTTCCATCCAGAAATAGATGAGGGAGGAAGCAAATCTCAGTACACACTGTTGAGATCTTTCTTCCCATCCCTGCATTTCTTAAAGAACATTTTTGTTGACAACATGTGTTATCCTCCTCCCCGGAGGTGAGATGATGAATCTTCTCCCAAGACTTGACATAATAGTATAACACGTCACAGTGTCTGACACTGAGGGGAAATCCACAGATTCACAGCTAACAGGCTCAGTGGGCAGCCTAGCTGTGGAAGGAAGTGAATTTATGTCTGTCTCTACCACACTTGAAGAGCACATTTTCAGAAACCTTATATGCTGTGAACATTGTGATATTTGTACTGAGAAATCATCACACAGAATGGATCTGAAAGCCAAAGTGACCTTTTCGGAACAACCCCCACCCTGCATAAAAAGACAAATACAGCCAGATGACCTGACATTTCCTTTTTAAAATTTCAAATGTTCCTGATTAAAATCAGCTATTGATCTGTCGGTTTATAGCATCAGTACAATTTAAGTGAAGTCATTCTTGTTGTACTTCAACAAAAACAACTGCTTTTAAACTCCAGTCCCTTGGTACCAGCAGGCAGTAAATCAGGAGATATATTGTAAGAGGAAGGTCTTCAGTTAGGAACCTCTCTAAATTATTGAGAAGTAATGATGTTTATTTGAGGATTAAGGTGTGTCTGATTCAGACCGTGGTTTTTCTGATCACTTGTTATGCATCTGAGAGCTATACAATGAATAAGGAAGACAGAAGAAGAATTGATGCCTTTGAGTTGTGGTGTTGGAGAAGAGCGCTGAACATCCCATGGGTGGTAAAAATTACAAACAAATATTTTAGAGAGGGTGCAGCTAGTGTTCTTTGGAGGCAAAAATGATGAGACTTCTCCTTCGGGCATGTTGCTAGGGGGGCTATTCCGTGGAGAGGGACATGATGCTCAGAAAGGTAGAGGGGTAGGTGAAGGAAAGAAAGACCCTCAACCAGGTGGATTGAAAAACAGTGACTGCCATAATCGATGCTAGTGTATCAGATAGTGTGAGGATAATGCAAGATAGGACAAGATTCAGATCTGTGGTTCATAGGGTCGCTCTGGGTCGTACTCGATTCAGTGGCACCTAACAATAACAATATACTCTTAACCACCTCAGCCAGCATAGTTTGCAGAAATAGATTGCAAAAAATAACCTATTCTAAATCTGAAATTAAAATCTTCAAAGTAAAATTGTGTATCGTTATACTGTGTCCAGTTTCAAAGATTAAATTTGTTTACTCACTCTTTACCTCACATCCCTCTTGAAAGAAGCTACAAAAAGCCTGTAAGGAAAGAGAGATTGTCCAGATTCCTTGCTCACTCACACGTAGTTGTGGGATTCTGCTGAAGGAATTGCCCGAGTTCCACCTGGGTTTGTCAGGGAAGATAGAAGTCAGTAGTGAGGACACAGTGCTCAAGAGTGTTTTGTTTGGGGATCACTGTGTTAACAAGGTCCTCAGTTCATCCATCTGTCCAAAAGCCACAGAAGCCATGTCTCCCCTACATGTTGATAGATTTGTATGCAAGTGAAACTTGATGTTCTCATGCTGAAAGTTCAGTGGATAATGATCTTGAAAGTGTGTGATGCCCTAGTTGATCTCTTGATGAACGTTCTTCCTGTTGTTACGTACTGTGAATCAGTGCTGACTTGTAACTGGCTCTACAGTAGGTTTTCAGAGGCAGTAAATCACATGGGAGGAGTTTGCCCATCTCTTTACAGCAGAGCAGCTGATGGATTCGAAGAGCATGCTTTTGTGATGGTAGCACAAGTCCTTACTAAAGTGGCGTTAACCCAAGGAAGTTGGGTGGAGAACGCTTTCTAGATGGATCTTTGGCTTGTCTTCTATTAGTCTATTAGAGTTCTTATTCTTCTAGGACAGGTGGTAGCACAGAAGCATCTCTCCAATCAACCTAGTCCTTCTAGGAGACAATGAGGAAGGAGAAACTGGCAGAAAAATAAGGGGGCCATCTTGCCGAGGAGATTATTTCATATTTATGTGTTTATTTTTTACTACATTTCTTGTGCACCTGTCTGTATTCCTTTTCTTTAGCCATATTGTAAAAGTATTTTTAAAAAAGTGAGCCGTCCCATTGCGTTTATAATTCTTGGATCCTCAGTTTTACTGTCTGTTGTACACACAGCAACTGGGTAAATAAATTACAAAGCTATACATGGTAGCCTGCTCAACTTGTTTTAAACAAATGATAGAGACTTAGTTGTGATATCTAGATGTCTTATTAGGAAGAAACATCTCTGCAGAAGGACATAGTCCTTAGTAAAGTAGAGGGAACTCTCAAAGAGATAGATTTAAACCATGGCTCCAACATAACAGTGATTGAAAACAATGTGCACAAGGTCTCTCTAAGTCATAACTGACTCGACAAAACGGAACAAGAGCTTTCAGCTTTCCTATTTTGCAAATGTTAAAGCTGGTTTTCACTGATCCTCGTGCTAAAAATCATGCAATCCTGCACTACTTCTAATACTATCTTTACTGAATAACTCAGGGAAATGCCCTTAGGATGAGGAACTTTGCTCTTTATGCTGATTTTCTTTTCTTTCCGTCTATGATTAGATCCCACTGCATGCATGTAATAGTGTTCTTGCTGTTAAATTTAGGGTGACCATTTTACTCTGTTTGCCTGGAATACAATCTATTTATGCCCATTATCACCCCAAAATTAGTAGCACCTGCTTTTGTTCACGAAAGTATCCTTTTGGGGCGATATATATATAT